TTAAGATTAAATGAGCAGTGCAGAACTTGAAAAGCAAACCCATAATTATTAATAGATTTTTAAATTGGCAGGCAATCGATTTTTAAATTGTCCTTTCACCCTTGTGTGTAATGCAGTTTGCCTCACAGTGATAAATTAGCAGCAGCACTGTGCTGTGACTGTTTCTGCTGGAAGGTTCTCATTACCATTCAGGGGTTTTGCTGGCTCATCAGTGAATCGTGGACAGCATTTTAATTGCTGAAGTGTGGCCCAGAAACTAGAGAAAGGATAGAAAACAGTCTGTAAAAACCTTTTCTTGAATTCTAAGATGATTGGGTTTCCGAATAAAACTAACCTCTTTGGCCATAACATTGCTATTATGTATCCCAGAGGAGTACAGTATCCCAGACAGTACATTCATCCCCTCTGTCCCTCTCTTTAAATCTCAGTATTAGTGTTAATCTGTCAGGGAAATAAGAACAGTAACATGTAATGGCATGAATGTGCTTTTTTCCTTAATTGAAGAGAACAGTTCCCTTAATCCCAGTAGCACTGGGCTGCGATCTACGGTTTTGATCCAAGTTTCATTATTCGCCAACATCTTCCAAGATAAATTACACTAGCAGCCTATAAGAAGATCTGTTTAAGTGTCTTCTTGGACAGATGATTTTCAGTTGCTACTCAAAACATAAAGCCAGTTTTTAGTTGCTATTTGGCATTTGTTTTATCTAGGTGTTGCTTAATCAGAGTTCTAATTAGAACTGGTTGCAATGTTGTTTGTCAAAATAAACGTTTTCAAAACACTAAAGCTTTCGTGGAGCAAATTGCTTTGCTGCCATTTCCAATGGGGTAGGTTCTGAATCTCGGAGAAGAAACTCCAGTCAGGCAGGGTGAAATGAGTAAGAAAACTTGGAATTTTGGATCTGAAAATGCATATTTGCAGGTAATTTTGTGTGTGATTTTACAAGATTATGCTTTGATAGAATGAAAATAAATATTTGATCTTCAAAGACTTCAAAACCTCATGAAACAGGAATTTGTTCTTCAGATAATTCTAGTTCTGACAATACTCCTTCAGCTTTGTTCAACATTGTTCCACTCTGCTCATTTTGCAAATACCTTGACACTGCATTTAGTGTTCCTGAACAGTTTGGATTGTGTGCAACACACAGCATGTCACCTTCGAGAACATGTGGTCTAACTGAACTTGTGACAGTCCTTTTGCCACTCCTGGAATTTTCTCTTCTCTTTTTCCAAATTCAGCGTACACCTGTCATTGTTGTTTTTTACCCATGTTCAGCTTTGTTACCACTGAATGAAGCATGTGAACTGAACTCATGCTAGAGTTTAAGAATAAATGTTGTATTAAAATTCCAAGTATCTCAGAGGGTAAAAAAGCTTTCTTAAGAGTGTAATTGCCTTGCAGAGTTAGTGTAATATAAAATGACTGAAAAATTGGAAGGTAACAAACTATTTTTTGTAGTCACAGGCAATAGGTCAGGTAATAACGGGCTTAAATTTCAGCAGGGAAAATTTTAGTTAGACTTCAGGAAGAAAAGTTAAGCATGTGGTTAGTTAAGCACTAGAAGAGGAGACTTGTGGAAGCTCCATCATTTAAAAATTTTACAATGTGAATGGACAAGCATCTGTCAGGAAAGGTTTAAGTTAATCTGATGCTGCTGTCAGGCAAAGGGATGGATTTGAGTGCCTCTCAAAATCCCCCTTTACTGTCTGTGCATTATTTTCTATTGATGATGCTTACTGTCTGGATTTACCTAACCTCTGACTGGTTCATAGACAGGTCTCTATAAAGAATGTTTTGTCCTCAGTTCTTACATGCTGCTTGTAGATATTGAGCTCTGTTTCCTTCTAGAGGCGCACAAGACCAAGTGCAAGCTCATGGTAACGTGACCCCAGGGAAGGCAAGCAAATGTCTGCACTAGCCAATCCTCTACTGTTTATTACTGTGTAGTCTCTCCACGTGTAGTTTCACATAGTCAGATACCATCTGATGGTTTTGGGTTAACAGGAACATGGACTGTTGTGGAACAAAGGAGTGAATTTCTCAGCAAGCTAACCAGGGGAAGAAAATATTTTGTCTACTGATATTACCTAACCACCTAAAGATTCAGCCCACACTTCAGAGACTGGCACCATGATGCCTTTGATGGAAGCTGAAGATAATTTCTTGGTTAAATCTTTTAAGTGTTTCTCCTTGCTCACCAGCACCTTTCTAGTATTGTCCAGATGTATTCAGCAGGAAATTTCCTGAAGCCAAGTTGTCATTTCAGTAGTTAGTTGCAGCTGTTGAAAGAGATGAGTGTCAGTGGCATGTTGTTAAATCTACCTGAAGCCTTTATGCATCATTTTTATTTATGGTGGACTCAGAGAAATACTGAAGAGCAAATTACTTTGGATAGATACCTTTATAGCCTGTAGATAAGAGAAAAAGGAACAAAGCAGTACTACTGGGGAGAACAGCTGTGACTACTGTAAGATGAAGCTATTACTGTCAGATCACCTTCCTCCTGTTCTTTGTTGTAATGCCAGACATTGCAAAGGCTCCTGAGACGTGCAGCCATACAAGAACAGAGATCTTACCCTGCCTACAGGAGACATTGTAACATCCATATGCAGTATGGTGGTTACGCCACATGCCGTGGGAGCTTGGAGTTTACTAGTCACTTAGCTGTTTATTCAAGATGAGGATTACAGAGCTCTGCAATGAGCTGAAATTCACTTCAGGGTCAAGTCTGTAGAAGATTTTAAGAGTCAAGTATTGGTTTGTTTGGGACTATTTCACTGTCAGTAGATTAGACAGAAATGTTCCCCTGAAGGAGTCACTACTTGCTTGTTTGGGGGGGTACTCCAGAAAGTGTTGGTGGTGCGGTTGTGGCACTCTGGTGTCAAGGCAGCCCTCTCAACCCTTGCTCTGGTCTCGTATGGAAGCAGTTCTAACTGTAAACGGATATTGGTAGCTTGAGCTGAGAAGCCATAAGCAGCCGTATGCAGTGCTGCTCCATGTCTCTCTTGTATGCAAGTGGCTCCAACAACAGATGTGTTTCAGCAGTGCTAACAGGATACGCCTATGGAATTCCCTGGGACCTTTGCACTTTTTCAGTCACTGATCTTAATCACTGATCACTGCAAGTGAAGAAGCAATTAAACATGAAATGATGACTCAGGGCCTCAGTCCTGTGTGATACTGAGCACGCCTGCACATTGCTATGCCCCAGCTGGTCCTAAGTCTGTGGCAGTTGAGGGCACTCAGCACCTTGCAGGATCAAACCATGGAGTTAAAAAAAACCCCAACACTTATAATCAATAATAGAGACAGAAAAAGTTAATTTATTGTGAGTACTGATTGAATAACTAGATTAAGAGTAATGGAGGACAAGACCAGAGAGATGAGGAAGCTTTCATTTCTTCGGGGACTGTTGCTGTAGCACAGACTTTATTTACAGTCCCCTGCCAGAAAATATCTATTGACTGTTGGTGTCAGTTTCTGTTGGACCACAGACTGCTCTGATAGCTGCAGTTGCAACAAGGGATGTGACAAATCCACGTGTTTGAGATGCACCAGGTGCCAAATGCTAGCCTTGTTTCTCCCTAGCTAACAAGTACAGATGTGTGTCAGCACGAGACAGGAGCTTGAAAGCAATTACAGTAGCTACAGAGAAAACAACACTGTGAGTGTCATGTTTTTAGTCTTACAATACTTTTTCTTTCATCGTTTAACAGCATTTACAGAAAGATATTTGAGTTGGACTTTTAGGGTTTCTTTCCTTACAACTTATTCTACACTTATTTTATCATTCTCTGTTAGCTATGTTAAAGTCATCTTTGTAACAACTACTTGTGATGTCCAGAGGAGATAATTACAACTGCAGCTGGGAATTAACAGCATGCGTAGTAAACTCTTAAGACCAAACCTCGGAGTTTTCATGTGAATGACTTGACATTAATACATCAGGAAAAGAAAAATCAAGAAATAGAGAGAAGGTGGCATAAAACATAGGTGTAAATCAAAGCACTCCTAATAACAGGAATAGAATTGATGGGCAAATCTGAGTAGAGTCATACCAGGAAAGATTCCTGGACCTAGTTCTTCACTCTGCTGTAGACAATGAAGTAGTCATCACAGAAAGGATTACCATTCATTCTGGAAAAGGAGACTGCAATGCAAGTTGTCAACTTTGGTGAGTTTTTGTAAAGTTGTCCAGAAGAGATAAGAAAGCATTGGATGAGAAAGAGAAATCAAAGTGAAAGAGAAGATGTTGGACATACTCCATAGTGTCAGCTGCCATTGAACTGTTGTGATGGGAGTAACCAATTTATTTACTGATAATGGAGGTGGCTTCTTAATGTATGTACCAGTAGAAGGTTCTGAATACTAAAATTACAAAGCTACCTACCAGTCCGTTATGTGATCATACTTTTGGGTGTCAGTCTCCACAACTGTGTAAAATTAGAGTGAGAAAGCGTCAACTCCTGCCTTCACCCTCTGAGGTACTGCTCCATTTTAAAAACATGAAGGTTCAGACCAGATTTCACCTGGCCCTTCTCCGATAGTGGCCAACAACAACTACAGGGAAGAGTACAAGAACATGTAGTATTTTCCCCACATCATTTTATAAAAACACTTGGCCGTCACCCAGAAACTGCCAGCAAATACTGACTACAACGTACTAGCATTGCTATGAGATGGATACTGCCAGACTGAGTCCTCTAAACCTATTTCCCATCTAAGACAATATGACACCCACTTTCAGTCAATACAAATTTGGGCTGAATATGGCATGTTATGAAAGGGTTTGTTTTTATTCAAGTTTGGTTTTTCACAAAAGGAGTAGTAAGTCAATCTAGTTAGATGCACAGAAAGGAAAACCACTAAACTCCGTGGCAGAATTGGATTTATTTATAAGTTGTGGAATCTGAAGTTATCGTTAAATACAAATAATATAGAAGCAAACACAAAACTTGTTCCAAAGAAACAGGAGAATGACTAAGTGAACAAGGTCATGCTGGAATCATGTGAATAGAAATCACTATTTTCTGTGATCATTCACTTACATTTAAAGTAAAACTAAGCCCTTAGCCCTGCAATTTACAATGCACAGAGAATCTGGAACTCTTGCCAAAAATTGTTGACAGTCCATTGTTTATTGTAAATCATATGGGCTTAGTTTTCAAAATCTATATTCACATAAAACATTATTTTCTAATATTTTTCATTCAGCTGGCTTTTCCAATGCTCCTGTGACCATATCAGAATGTTTAAGTAACCTGTGTGCCATATGTGAATATATCTCAGTACATGAATATGCTGAATTTCATTCCAAAGAAGATCTATTCTCCAGGGACTTTCAGCTCAGCATGGGTAAAGAGGTAATCCTGAAGATCGGGAGACTGTGTGAAGAAGTATCTCCCCTTTTCCTTAATTTCTGATTGATTTAGATGCTTCAATATCATATTGTTCATTTTCCTAAGCTCTTCTATGTTCTTCTTTTCAGATATTAGTCTGCTTGATATTTGGTCCATCTTGTTTCTAGTTTGAACTTGAAAAGGAAAATGTACCGCATTAAATTGGCAACATTTAAGTTAAGAGCATCACTACCCTCTCTTGCATTCCTGTGGGAGTTTGTAGGGAATTACGATGGGTAAAAATATTAAACAGGAAAACAACTGCAGAACCTAATGATAAGAAGTTATGCATCTGGTGGAGTTACCTGTTCACTACATTCTTTAATTGCTTGTTTTCTGTTTTATTCAGTTCAGTGCAGTGTAATAAAATCAGATACAGCTCAGACAAATTATGCAGTCTTCAGGAGTGTATCCATTCCATTAGTGTCCACAGAAAAATGTCTTATTTAGGGGCTCCAAAATGCTATTTCTGGGCAGTAAGCACCTGTATTTCTCTAAAACTACAATTACTAAAACACACAGCAGACTACAGCCACATCACTGGATTTCGTAAAGCATTTAGATTAAAGGAAAATTCTTGCAAATATTAGCATTTGGAGGCCAGTTTCCTCTGGAACACCAATATGCAGTATCTGTCATGTACACTTCTGGAGCTATTTTTATTTTAGCTTTCTGAAGTTAACAAAATTTACCCGTGGGTTTTGAAGCTTGAGTCTAATAGTGCCAATGTTAAAAAAATCTATGTCTATGGATTGCAAATGTAATCTGATATGATGTTTGTAATGTAAGCTGAAACACTGCTGGAACTGAGTTTCAAAACCCACAGGCCTCCACCAACCTGAGCCCAAGCAAACTCCTTTAATCCCTGTAAGTAGCCTTTTGGCTATTACTTTACCATTTTTCCACTAGAGGGGCACATCACTCATTTTTCTATACCAGGGCTCTACTTTTAGCAGCTCTCCATTAAATAAATCTGGAATTCAAGTACAAGATATTTTAATTAGGGTTTTATAATCATGCCACTTAAAATTTCCTGTGTGCTCTGATATTCTGTTCTTTGAGCGCTTGTGAGCAAATTCAGTCAAGGATTAGGATTTCCTGTTCAAAAAGAAAAATGAGGATTTTTTTGCTCTGCTCCAGCAAATTCCCTGCTATAGGATAAAAGAAATCTTAATTTCACATGGATTCCAGTTCATTCAAAATGGACTTGTAAGTTAAAATAATGCACCCCAAAATGGCAAGGGCTCCATAAACCAAGGTCACCTGTAACCATGTGTTTAGCTAAACCCACCCGACCAGTCCAGTCGAAGTGGAACAGCAATTACATCTACAGACTCAATGCTATGTGCCAGTTTTGATATATCTTGTCTAATTTTTTGTTTCTTATGTTTGAGATTTTCTTCGTTCCAAGTACTTAGCTAGCAACTTTCAGGTCTTTCTTCAGGTAGCTTGATTTAAGTGTTAGCGTGGGTGTAATCCCAGTTTCAGTGGAATGACACCAATACTGAGTTTTATCTGGAAAGGAATGGAAGGCACGTTGTCAAAGCATCTCACTGTCATACAGTCATCTTTAAAATTTAATTTAATTTCCAGTCAACATTTTTAGCAACACAGTATAACCCTGTTGAGCTAAATTCTTCACAGCTGTCGAAGCTCACAAAACCTTTGCACTAAAAATGAAATTGTGCCTTTTAGCTCAGAGAGTAGGGGCCTGTGCTTTTGCACCCAGGACGAAGATCCACTTCCCATAACCAGCCAAAGCCTTTGACCATGCAAATACAGCAGTAGCATGTTATAAGGTAGCATGACGCATTTCAGTGAAGTTCTTCTGATTGGCCCTACGTTTTTAAGAACCACTCTTCAGTTTACTTACTTATTAAGAATATTACGAATGAAACAAGTGCCAAACTGATGATCAAAGTAAGAATAAAGGTGACGAAGAACAAACACTGGTTTCTTATGTTGCTCCCTGCCGTGTTTTCTCCAGTACCACCAGTGTTCTCTTCTTCATCTGTTATGAGATGACAAATCATTTGGTGATAAAGTTTGTTAAATCTGGTTAGGATAAACATGACAAAATGCTTCTGGCTTCATGAAATGATGTAGAATACGTCATAATTTTGGCCAACAGATTTCATTTCCTGTGATATTGCATGAGAAGGGAAGAAACCAACTTTATGAGCTCAGCTTGAATTTGGAAGTATGAAAACTAATACATCTGTTATAGCTGTTGGAACATATTCAACAGAAATGTTTCTGTTGTTGAAATACACTGTTTTGTTGAAGTTGACCTGTTTCACAGTTCAGAATTTTACAGCTCAGTTTTACATGTACAAAGGTTACAATTAAGTTTTCATAGGAGGCTTTTTAAGGGCCTGAATGGACTCAACCTTTTCAAAAGAGAGGAGAGAAAAATTCTTATTGAAAACCTAGATACAGATTCATCTTACACGTTCATTCTCTAGATTTGCTTCTTTTTCTGTTTGACAATAGAAGTATCCCTGGGATGATTAATTTCCCAAATTAAGCACCTCAGTTAAGCTCCTGATGTTGGATAGGATGAATGTAGGTCTTGACTTTTTATCTTAAAACAAATGTTTTCAATGTTCTTCTTTCGGTTTTGTTGGTTTCGTTCCAATAAAAAATGAGCTACATATCCCCCCAAATTGTCAAAAACGGAAGAGACTCTCACATGGACTACATATGGTGTCCTTCAGGTACATGAAGAATGAGGGGAAAAAGGACAAGTAGTTGCTACGCTGCCCTCGAATCAGAGCGTCAAGCCAGTTTATTGCTTTCTAAAGAATGTGTTGCATATAGGGAAAGTCCGTAGTTTCTCTCATAGAAACAGTTGCAACCAAATGAGAGGTGGCACTAAGCCCTAAAGTTAACAGTTAAAAGTCAAGTGAACACCATGAGGAAATTCATGTGAACCTAAAAAAGAATCATACTTGAGCCAGATTTGTTTAAGCCCAAGTTTGCATACTACTTTAACTACTTACTAAGGTTTGGGTTTATTTTATGTTTTGGGGGGCGTACGGAGCTAATGTAATTTCATTTTGGTGTCAGTCTCATAGATTCTAAAATTACATGCAAATTACTGTAATTTCTCCTCCTGTAATTGCTGGCTTGCCATTCTGAAAGGAGAGTAGCGTGTGCATCTGTGAAAAATATATTTCTAGATCATGTTCTTGTTTTAGCTGGTAGAAATCTCTGAGGTCTTTGCAACTGAGCCTGTAGTGATAAAGCTGAGGGAAGGCTGTGTATGCCATTACAGCACTTTAATAATGAACCAGTCTGGGGCTGAGCAATTCACTGAGGTAGTAGGAGATGTCTGGGAGTATCTCTGCTTTTCTTTATTGCATTTAAAATGCTCCTCCCTGCAGGTAAGCTGAAACCTTTTAATATTTGGGTTTGGGGGTTTTATTTTTATTCCCTTAGCATTTATAACAAATGCATCATATACTAAGTGCCTGCACAAATATTGCTTTCTAATCAGAATAATAAGGGTGGGGAGGGCCTGCTACTGCTGTCTCTCAAGCATACTAAGCTATCAATAGAGGTCTCAAAAGTGGTCTGTGCTTGCTCTGCCTAATGAATGCCTTCTTACTATTTCAATTGGCTGAACATGCCAGCCTGCAGTGTTGTGAGGAATCAGTGAACGCACATTCTTGCCAAACTGCAAACAGTGGGACCATTTTGTTATCTAAAACATAAAGAAATTACTGCATGGCTGCTACCAAAGCAATCAAAAGGTATATACATTTTAAATAGCTTTTAACATGATTGCTAGTGTATTTGATTATGCCAGGTCATATTAAGCTACTGAACAAAAGGATTGCTGTGTACTGCAACACTCTTGAAATGTTGTTTTTAAACCAAATTGGGCATCTGCTATACTACTAACAGATCATTCACAAAATTTTAGTATTTATCAGAAATTGAAAAACACTCCACAGGTCTCACTGATCTTCTGGCAAGAGAGCCAGAATTTTATGCTGCTGAATAAGGCAGCTAAGAAAGAACTGTGAAAAGTTAATTTTATGTATTTAACTGATGGGTAAGATATCTACAGAATCTCAAAGTTTAAAAAAAAAAAGCATGTTAAAAAGAATAATCCTAGAAGGAGCCAAAGTACTTTACAAATTGATGCATGAAATACATATTAGGCTACTTTTATTTACTGCTGAAATGTAGGGAGGAGCATGCGTGTGATTGTTCCACAGAACCATATATGATTCCACAGAACCCTGTATATTTACCTGGAAAGTACACAATACTGTCTAATAAAAATTACAACAGAAAGCAAAACAGTCACGCTGCAAAGAGTTTCTTTGACATTAAATCCAATTCATCCCATTGTCTTATTTTGTACTTGTAGAAGTGACAATATCAAGATAATCTACATATGAAAATTAAGTAGCTTATGTCTAACATCTTTCGTTAAATACAGAAACCAGCACCACTCTAGTTTGTTGCATTAGGAAAAGTTAGAGGACTCAGAAACAGAAGTAATGGAAAAGCATTTAAGTCCTATAACTAGAAGCATGATTAATTTATGGCCATTTGAAACTCATTTAAACAGAGCTGTTGTTCTATAGCTTTTCTTCAGTCAAATTTGCCATTATAGTAAGGGAAATAAAAGCAGATTCAAATACTGTTATGTGGAATGCTGCTGAAGAACTCCAGGTTTTAAGATGTTTTCAGGTCACAAAGAACTCAAATGTATTGTAGCTATCACTGGGTGAAAATATTCTTGTTGCCATGAGAAATCAAAGTTAAGAGCCATATAAAACCAGTAGAAGTGTGAGAGCCCATATCTGAAACTGTAAGTAAAGAGAGTCTGCAAATTAAAATGCTTAAAAGTCTCATGGGATATTTTACATAACTGGTTTGAGTCCTTAGAAGATGTGTCTTAAAAGAATGAACAGAAATTAATTCTGTTCCTATTGCCACATATGAATTTTAGTGCTTGTGAAGAGTTACGATGCTATTTATGTAGTAGGTGTATATTGAGCGTTACTAGAAACATTATCCTGCAAGGATCACCTCATGAATCCCAGTGGAAATGGAAGATAAGTCCAGGCGTGATAGTGAATCCCTAGCCAAGTGCAAGGATTTTCAGGAACCTAATAACTGAAATACTTAGCAGGAGCAGTTAAACCGTTAATCTGATCTGTCTAAATTATGCTGTTTTCAATCTTTTTCTTACATTTTTCAGTACAGAGCTTGACATATACATTTTGGCCTATTGGGCTGTTGACATCAGTAATACACAATGTGGTCAGCCATACATAACTCTTTTTTGATGGCCTATTGTAAGTATAGAAAACCACAGAGCATCACCTATCATACGTACCTAGCACACGTTGGGATATATCTGGACAAACATTTAGTTTGTTTAGGTTGTTTAAAGAATCAACCACATAAAGTTTTCCTTCTTCATGAGTATCGGGCAGGTTAATTTCCAAGGAAGGCCTCTCCATTGTGTCTAAAAGAAATAATAATTAAAAAGGTAAATTAAAACATGGATATGGGAAATAACTGGTAACAGTTGGTGTCTTGTTCTAAGGAAATGCTGAGCAGCCTTAACAATCCTTAAAATAAAGGGATTTGAAGGACGAGCACAGTTACTAGATCTTGAAGGCAAGGGTAACAGTACATAGCACTTATTTATTCTTGGAGATCTTTGGTGAGTATAAGATTTCATTTCTACACTGTGTTTTTGCACATGTGTATACTTAAACCTATATATGCATATGTACGTGTGTGGAGAAAGAGAGAAAGAGAAAAATCTATTTGACTGTTCCAGCATTGATTTGAACGTTAGTTATTTAGTTGTATAACTCTTTTAGTTTGGTGTGTACTTGGTAAGATGTAGGGTGACATCCTGACCACAGTGAAAGCCAAATCTTCACTAATACTGCCAGGAAGGATGTCACTCAGGTCCTCTGCTTTCAGCATCAAATACTTCAGAGATAAGACAGAGAAAGCAGGTGTGGATGTAGGAGATAAGCAGCAAGAATTTGCACCTACTTATACACCTTAGAATATCACTGTGAAGTTATTATTTGTAAAAAATGGAGCAAAAAATAACCTTCTAATGTGGGTCTACTATACATAGATGCTAGTTTTGGACAAATTACAGCCTGATGGCAAAGCCTTTTCTTCAGACTAATAATCCTTGCTTTAAAAAAAGCACTGGATGTGGCCCAATCAGCAAAAAACAGCTTCTCTGTGAGTCTGGGTGCATGAACTCATTGACTTATTGTTTATATGAATACAGTTATGAAGGAAGATTATATAGAGAAAAGAAGCAATACCTAAGCAGGCTCCTCTATGAATTTCACATTATTCCTCATCAGTCTTTTGGTTTTCTTTATGCTACCCTGACTCCAAAACTGTTTTCTAGAAACAAACTACAGTTCTAGCCATAAGGAAATGCAGATGCTCTAACTAGGCATCTTAGACTACACTGGTCACTGAAAACTCCCTTTGTAATTATTGAAGAAAGATACATACTTCCAGGTGATACTCCTCTTAGAATAAGATGTGTCTTTCTGACCTTAGAATCACAGCCTAAATGTACCTTTCCCTTGCTAGTGAATGTAAGGGGGGAGCTCACAGAGATTAGTTTACACTTGGGAGTTGAACACATCTTACCCACTTAGTATTTTATCAAAGCTCTCTTAGTATTTTATCAAAGCTCTCAAGTTCAATTTTATCTGCCAGACATAACTCAGCACTTCATGGGATGCAAACCTCCTGCATGGTGGTTTGTACCCCATGATGGAGGGCGTTAAGCACCTCAAGGTGATTTCTGAATACTAGATGGGTTGAATTGCCCTCTTGACAGGCATCTCCCTGTCCAAGCAATAGAGAACGCAGTGTGACCAGATTCCTAACCTAGCACTTAAATTAAAAAACTAAAGCTTGAGGAATACAGGCCTTAGCCTTTACAGAAAAGACCCACTCTTTCCCTCATCAAACCAGATGCAGATTTTCATAATTCCCCTGAATTTGAGCACACAGACAAGTAAACATTCACTGAGCCTCAGTAAGTCTGAAGACTAAGTGCTTCAATCACCCACCCCTGACAAAGGGGCTTGTTCTCTTGCTAGTGGGGATTGACAGGCCTACATGTATACCTTTATATTTGTATTTAATAGAGTGTAAGAAAAGGCTGCAGCTTCTTTTTTTCTCTTTTCAGAATTGTTGCTGCTACAAAACACAAAGATAAGGTAGAAAAGCTGGCGTAGTAGGGGTTACCCTTACCTAGCGTATGATTTTTAGGTGTGCGGCAGTAATTTCAGGACAGACGGCTGTGTCCACTGTCCTTCCCCTAGAACGTCGCGTGGTGCCAGGCAGCACGGTCGGTGAGCCATGTCCCCACCAGCGCTGGCTCCGCTATCTCCTCACAAGCACATCTGTGGCCAGCTGCAATCATTACAGAGCCCTGCGTTTCAACAACGGCGCACTAAACATTAGTGACCACCTCCTGCACAGAGGCTTTCAGTTATTTTTAGCTGCCAAAGAGCAGTTGTTTCTCTTGAGTATTTTCATTAGCACCTCCCTGCAACTTCAGGGAAGACTCTTCTTAGCAACTTGAGCTGTAATAAACGTGAATACCTTTGATTCCTTAATATTATGAGTTATACATTTCTGCATTCATTTTTATTTAAAAACAATCTCCTCACTGTGCGCGTAACCGCAGTGAAGATAACTGTTATTAATTCAACAAACTCTGTATTACATTTGTTTTATTACATTCACATGCCAAACAAAGGAGAGAGGATACAGACATCAGGGTCACTGGCCAGAAGTGTTGATTATTTTCCCAACAAACTAATCTAAACATTGGGGGCTTGGGAGTCACTCTTATCTGGTACTTTAACCTTGCTTAAAGCCTTTTCTCCCCATGCGATTTTTAAACTTCTTCTTAATCTGTTGTGGTAAAATTAGAACTTAGAATGAGAACACACGGAAAATTCTTCACAGAAAAAAAAGAAATCAAGTCTAAAAGGAATTAAAAAACAGGAGAATGAAACGTTACTTACAACATAACTATGTTCAGGTAACGTGCCAGTATGGAAGAAATCAGCCAGTGAAAATCACCCGAAGAAAACTTGTTCTGCTGTTCCTCTCTCTCTACTTTTAGACCCATAGGAACCTGTCAACTCCTGCAGGACCCATGAAGGCAGCTATGAAACAGACCCTCCCTCTCAATCTATATTTAGAGTTCATCTTGGCTAAGTATACTGACTTAACAATATTGATCTGTTTAAAAAGAAAAAAACACATATACAGCTCTTTTTTATTATACTGAAATCCTTATGATAACATCCTATCATAGAGAATGAGAAGGTTTGTTAGTGATGAGCAATATTTCACTAACCTTTTGGTTTATGGTGCCTTTTTAAAGCGCATTTGCTAATGCAGAAGAGTCATATCTACAACACTGTAGCTATGAGTAACCAGTTTGCTATGCAGAAGAGTCATATCTACAGTATTGCAGTCATGAGTACTTTAAAGGCACAGACTAGAAAAAACAGGGTATTTTCCTCCTCCCACACATCTTAAAATTCAAGTGGGGCAGTATTATGGGATGGACTAATTTGTATGGTATCCTTAGTTGTTTAAAAAATAAATTCTGATGAACTGTTTGTGAGTACTGGTAACTGCTCCTTCACAGTTCTTTTGATCGCTCCTTTTTTTCTTGGTGATGTTGCAGAATGTAACGTTACAGCACACTCTAAGGACAGGTAGCTGACGCTTATACAAAGGGACCATGGCTCAAAACAAATCCTTTCTGAAGCCATTCTATACGTCTAAAATGTTGAACCCCTTTAAAGTGACAGTAAATACATTTTCCTTTCAGGAAAGCACACAGAGAATACATCTTCTGACTCATAGCTCCCACCCCAAGCTGCCAAGCTCTGCCGCTGCCCAGTCTGAGTAGCTGCGCCAGTAATACAGACAGAACAAGCTTGCTCCCTTTCTGCAGGGGTCTCCTAGAAGTCCTCCCTCCAAACAAGGACATGCAAGCCAGAAAAAGAAAAAAAAAAAAAAATCTCACCTCCATCCCTGAAGGACTCCTGACACCATCCTAACTGGCAGACAAGGACCCCCGCCTCCCCCATTCTAAGCTTGAAAAGGTCTAAAACCCATCCGATCGCTGCAGGGCAGCAAGCTGCACAGCCCGTCTGCCCTCACGCAGCCTTGGAGCCATCCTGGTCGCTGTGGTTGGCAGCTACAGCGGAATGGGGAAAGGGCAACCACACGCTCGGCCGCCTGCCAGGAGATGCTGTAGAAAGCAATTTTGCAAAACACTGGCAGGAGAGGAAGCCATCAGAAGTGCAACGTTACACCAGCAAAGCATGCCAAAGGTGACCACCCAGAAACCACGGGAGAGACCAGTGGGAACGATTTAGCTGGAAGGGGGCATAGTCTCGGGCTGGGCAAACACAGGTAGCCAGCTTCATCTAGTTCAAGTATCAAAAGTTTCTTCTGCACTTGTGTGACAAACACTGACAACACACATCAATGACAGCACAAATCGCAGTTGAAGGCCTTATTACAGCTTAAGTAATCAGTTTCATAAGCCAAACAAATTCTTACATAATGCATTATTTGAGGAAAAAAAAGTTAGAAGGTACAACTAATTGGCATGTATAGATTTTCTGGAATAGGTTATGCTATAATCTGAAACTAAAAAAAAAACAACCCCCAAAAAACACCACCACACCCCAAACTTCCCCTTATCAGAGCAAGCAGTTTTCAGGGCAAGGGGTGGGGGTTTTATTGGGTGTAAAGTTTACTTCCTCTGCTGATACACATTCTTAAAAGCATAGGTCAAGTTATTCTAACAAGCACTGTTATTTATAGATCTTCTGGTTCAGAAGCTCCAGCTATGTAGGCTTTAGTGTCTTTATTACATAAACCCCCCATCGTCCCTACGACAGACAGTTCTCAGTTACTGGCACGTTTCAGTCCTCTAGAACCGAGGGTAGAGCAGTAGTTTCAACATGAGGAAAACAGGGCAGCTGGAATGGCTACTGTAAGACAAGGGACAAGGTGTTTTGCAGTACCAGAACTAGAAAATATTTGACCATTACAAAACTGATAACAAATGAACAGTAGGCTGTTGTGCAGAGCATATGCAAATAAGATACACCTTCAAAACACAGCAAGGTAGAGTTTCATGTAGCATCTACTAAAGCGTTGAAGACTAACCCAACCACATGCCAGAATGGGCAACTAAACAAACCCATCTGTTTCAACCTTTAGGTTTTGCTAGCGTTCCACCTTTTCATTCATGTAGTAATCACTTCTACACAGAAAGCAAGCAGTGAGAAACATCTTTATTCCAAAACTTAAACATCCAATTTCAGAACATGAGAATCTTGTTTTTATTTTACATTGAAGCAAGTATTGTCACTCACTACTTCACTGTAAGTGAAGGTAATTGAACTTCATAGTCCCCTTCAGGATAAAGTCATACCATGTAGAAATTTCTTTGTCCACCTGCCACTGAAGAGTTTTAAAAGTTACCAAAATAACTTCACATGGACAAGTTCATCTTTTCATATTAGCACATTCTTACCAAAACACTTGGTCAATGAATTACTTTAATTTACTTTTACATAAAGCAAGGAATCCAATCTGACACACGGCATTTGACTACAGTTATCCAGCCCATTGAACAGTTCAGTTACAGTATATTCAACCTTTGGAGCAAGTTGCATCTAATGCAAGTCTTATAATGTATCCCTGCACCCAATCTTGCATCTATCTATATACAGTGTATATGCAACTAAGCAACAACATGCATTATATTTACAGATTTTATACAATATCCCTGTGCACAACTGCAAACTGTGACTACAGAAATTAAAAAATTAATTTAAAGGTTACAAATCTATTTTAGTTATGAAAATTGAACCCCATGGAAAAGGAGATCTAGAAAAATTCCCCCACGTCTGCTCTTTTATCACGACATTTACTTCTAGCCTTTGTCCGAGCCTTGAATGCTGCAGAGTTGTACAAGTGCTACAAAATAAAAGGAAAAATTAATCACAGATCTTCAAAAGGCTTATGTCCCCTTTAGAGAGTTATTTTAATGTTAAGAAACAGCTGAAAATATCTTTTTATTAGTCTTTGGAGTAAATTGGTAGGCTTTCTGAAATTTACAGTAGAATATCTTTGCACCAAAGGCTGATGCATTTTAATATATATACATTTAAAAGAAACTTGGACTGTGTAAGAAAGGCTGAGCTACGAGCAATTGCAGAAGCCGGTCAGTTGAACATCACACAGACACAATGTAGATTAAGTTTGCCCCCTGGATTACACTTGGTAGCACCATTCCTCAAATTGTTTGTACACACGATGAGTACATTCACAACCAACAGAACAAATGCATCCTCCTAGTGTCTGTCTCACACTGGAGAGAGTTTGGGATACTGGCTTTATAAAGACTCAGTTTCTGTAGCTTCTTGTAGGTCCCTACTAAAAAACCTACGGCTCTCATAAGGGCCTAAGTTTCACATGTATGGAGCATGAATCTCATACCAATCAGCAACCATGTCAACCAACCTTCAGACCCCCTTGGGAGAAAAACAGTAGCAGACAGATGCCCAGTAGAAAATCTAAAATAAGAGCTCAAAACGACGCATACAAGCAAGGCTTGGTTTCCTTCAGGACAATATGGGGCACTGTTAGAACTAAAGTGATGAGTTTAAAGATGGCGGCCTCTAAAGTGCATGTTTGGAATACCATTTAATTCAGGAGAAGTATAGAAATGTATGTATGAAGTAAAGAAAATACATTAAGGTGCAATAACCTACCCTTTCAAAACGGGATATCTTCATTGTTTTCAGAGTTGCAGCATCTAGCATTACTGGTGGACCAAGCTCAAACACATTCCGAAGAAAGTCATTTGACTAAACAAGAAACACATAGAAGGATCAGTTTCTCCTTTGATTATCGAGTCTCCAAAGATGACTACTGTTAAATATCAAGTATTCTAGTAAGAAATAGTAGCAATTTGACACAAATCTTAGTATCTTTTGCAATTAAGCCAGGGAACACTTCTTCTTTAATCACAATAAGGCGAAGAACTAAAACTGCCCTCTTGAGAAGACACAAACAGCTACCCCCCCACCTTGACATTTTTGTTCCAGCAAATTAAACACTGTTCTGTTACATGCCCTACACAAGATCAGGCAGCTGGACACAGATCTGTATGGTTTCACAACACACCAATTTTAAAATATCTGGCTGTAAAATTAGTATTTGGAAAAGTTGAAAAAGCTGCTACATGCCTGGGCTCCCTCAGGCACATAGAAATGCAACTGACAATGCCCTGAATATTTTAATGCCATGATTATCACAGCAATTTGGGAGCATATACTCCTAAGCTAGAGTTCCTGTTTCTGCTATGTATCTAAACAGATGACTAGTGAACAAGCAGTTCCTAGAACAGAGATAAGGACTTATCCCTTCCTTTTTGGAATGCTGTCATCATTGGCCTGCAAGTTCTGTTCATTATTTTTTACTAAAATTTTGCATTCCTTTTTACAGGCTTGAACAGGAAGGGTTGGAGGCATGCAGCTTTATAGCAGCCAGATGACTACACCACTCTGCTGAAAGAGGGCATAAGGATTCAGGAAAAACCCTGAAGCTAAGAAGATGCTCACAGCTTGAATCTCTTACTTGTTGGAAGTCTTCTAACTGCTAACCCAGCACACCCAGGCTACAACTCCAAAGCAGCTCACCCCGACAGTTCTAGCTCACTGTAGTTCATTTGCTAAGTGCTGCCTTTTAACACTTACAATGAAGGCCCATCATTTCACCAAGTTCTACTCACGATTTCATAATTCAGACTGAATGACTACAAAGAAACCAGACAGGGAACAACAGTCTGAGCATGTATCAAACAGCAGCTCACCTGCAAATGATATTGCATCCCCGACCCCAGAATCTCCTTGAAGGTATCGTAAGTTTGTTTTTTAACCCAGCAGTCAATATACATGCGCTCAGGTCCAAACTTAACCATCTCTGTAGGAAAGTCACGCTCCTATCCAAAATTAAAGGAAACAATATATATAATTTTAATTTAAACAGTCTTTTGTATTAGGAATTGTATATGTCTCAATGAACTTTATTTTCGTTAATAAATTTGGAACACCAAAACCTTCCAAATAATATTGCATATGCTAAAGATTGTATTTGTTTCTAAACTGATGCACACCTAAAGTTAAATCTCATGTAAGACTTGAAGCTGACATTCTTCCAAGTCAGAAAGCATTTAAAACACCCACAACCCTTAACTTTAATCTTTAAAATAACTTTAAGAATTGGACTTATCTCCAGAAAAAACAGTTTGAGTACAGGAGTCACCTTTCAGTCAGTTTGTAAGCCTCATTTAGTCCCCACCTTTCAAGTGCAGCAAGCTACATTTGTGACAATGGAATGTAACAAGCCCTAGTGACTCAGATTCTTCTACAGGCAGAATCTCAAATGTGACTTCAAATCACTTCAAAGCCTTCTCCTTAGCTTCCAAGATGTTTAACCATTCCAAATGTCAACTAATATTTAGTTGGTCCTACCTATACAACAATGTAAAAAGTAATTATCTGACAAAAAATCTAGTTCAAGAGGTGTAAGATAAGAAATAATCCATTGAAGTGATAGAAGTTTGACATTTGTCTTCGAGGCTTTACTCAGATGTCACTAACCAAGTATTTTGAGAGTTCTGCTTTGTGTATTGTTCTCAATCTGGATACGGAAAACCAGAAGATTACAGCACAACAATTAGGACAACTCCCCCCCATACACAAACACTTCTTTGGCCCCTGACAGAGGTGCCATTTGGAAATGTATCTTACTACTAAGTTGCTTTTTGTTTACTATGCACAACAGTTCAGTAAGAGATTTTACAATAAACCTTTTCACAGAATTCAGAACACTAATTTGCATGTACTACAAGTTTTCTGTGAAAAAAAATCTGCTTATGGTATAAAATAAAAAGAATTTAGTATTTACAGTGCAATTTTTAGCATTCTTTACAAGAAAAAAACCCCACAACCCTCTTCAATATGGAAGTCAAGTCTGGAGCAAAATAAACAAAGTTTAACTTTCTTTGCTCTACATTTCCAAAAAAGCAGTTTTATTTTGTGTAAGTGATCAGAATTTGAAATCTCATTTAAACTAATTTTTTCCTGTTGCTTTTACTGAAACAGTAATTCTATTTAATAATAAAATGATTTTCATTAAATTGTACACTACATAGTTACAATCCAGACATTCAAACCAAGATAAAACAATCACCTCAACAGCTCGTAGAACATCTCTGAAGACAGATCGCTGCTTTCTTTTATCTACTTTGGCTCGGTGCTTGTTTCCATCAGTAGCCAGAGCTCTTAGTTTCTCTGTCAGAAGCTCCATATCTTCATAAAAGAAATCCTAGTAAAAAAAAGTGGGGGTTTTTGTTTTGGTTTGGTTTGCTGGGTATTTTGTTTGTTTCTTTTTTTAGTTTCTGGCCTTAACATCTTTTCCTGCAAATAGGAAAATGGTTCTCTCCAAATTCTGGGCACGTAGACCTCTACAACCTGTTACTTAAAGAGACAGAGATGGCACTAACTTCCTGTAGTTCCTTCTGCAGTGTTTAAGCCAGTAAGAACAAAGTCACAGCATCCAGTTTACCCAAGAAGGACACTATCAAACTCTGTTTTGGTAGTTAGAGCTACATGACACTGTACAGCTCCTTCAACGTGTGTATATACCTGTCAATCTGTTCTGCTCCATAATTCCAAGGGACTCAAACTGCCTAACTGACCTGCTGAACCTGGCTGCCGGTCCTGTCGACAAGCTGAGGGCACTTTCAGGTTATTAGCACAGAACTCATGCTGCAGGAGATGGATCGTGAGACACCATTAGACTGACAGTACAGAATCTATTTAGTCATTAGTCTCATATGGGGTGGAAAATTATAAAGCAGTTTTTAAAAAATGCTTAACAAAACACTCCAAGTAAACATTAATGCATAATTGTTTAGCAGGAAATATTTTCTCCCCTCCATTTGCTAATTCAGTGGTAGTTTACCTGGATTAGTAAGAATGTATGTAAACTTATGTAAAAACAAGTTTTTGTGTTTTTTTTAATCTGTCAACTGACTAGGCTGAGTTTACTGCATGCTTTTTAAAAGAAACTGGTCAAAGCCAAAACATGGTAAGCATTTTTAATCTGTGCTGATTGTTAAGGATCCAAAGAGAGTAATTTGTAATGATTAAAAGGGCATTTCCTCAATGGAACAGAAGTTTTTAATGAATATAGTCTCATTTGTTAATGCATTTTAAAGATTTTAGTTACTTGCAGTCAGTTTGACCAAATAAATGATCAAGTTCCAGTCTCTTTTCTCCTTTCAAAGTTGGTGTCCTAGTGGGCACAGGAAGCTGGGAAGGGACACAGCCAGGGCAGCCAACCCAAAGTGGCCATTCCATACCATGTGACATCATGCCCACTATATAAACTGGGGGGAGTTGGCCTGGGGGGGCAGATTGCTGCTCAGGAACTAACTGGGCATTGGTCAGTGAGTGGTGAGCAATTGCATTGTGCATCACTTGTATATTCCAATCCTTTTATTATTACTATTGTCATTTTATTAGTGTTATCACTATTAGTTTCTTATTTTCTGTTCTATTAAACTGTTCTTATCTCAACCCACAACTTTTACTTCTTTTTCTGATTCTCTCCTCCATCCCACTGGGTGAGGGGGAGTGAGTGAGCAGCTGTGTGGTGCTTAGTTGCTGGCTGGGGTTAAACCACAACAGTTGGCTTCCATAACAAGAGACTCAAATCCCTCCTGTTTGCCATTATATAGAAGTCTCGGCATATTGTTTCAGATTGTGCAGTGTTAGTGTGTCATGCATCGTGACTCAATTGGAGTTATCTTTTCACTTTGGACAGTGTTCTGGCAAAGCTTGGCAGCCTTGACCAAGCTAGGAGCCATTCAGGCAGCTCTTCCAAACTATGCTATGGGTAAGTGAAAACTGTTTCCTTCAGTGCTGTCAAGAAAACAGTTCAGAAATTAATAAGGCATATTAAGGAATGTAAAGGCAAGTTTAGCTGTGTGTGATGTAATACTGAGAAGCTTGCACCTAATCCAACTCAAAAGCAAACCCCAAGAAATCTCACCAAATGTAGCAATGCCGGTATCTGTGCAAAATTTGTACAAATCCTTTCAAAATCTGCCCCCTTAAACTGACTGACTAGTCCCCAACTGACTAAAATAGTCACAAATGCTGTGAAACCATCATGCAATACTAGTTATTCTTCTCAAGGTACCTAAATAAGGATACTGAAAATGCAATACTAAAAGTTAACATGGTTTCTACTGAAGGATAGATTTTTAGCTGTGAGAGCAGAATTGTGCAGGTTGTGAATCACTAACTTGTCTGCATAAGTATCTAATGAGTGTTCCCACTACAGTAAACAATACTGTTTTATCCTGGAATCTCTCTAGGAATTTTTTTTTTAAAGCTGGTGTTGGATTTATATTTTAAAGCTTGCACACTACATTTCTAGTTGCTCTTCAGTACTGTTTGATGTGTTTTGTTATATTGGTCCTGTTCTGTAATATGGAAATTAGTGTAAAAAATGATAGCTAAATTGCTGTGAATTATTGCTACACCCACTTAGATTGGGGAAGATTCAATACAAAGAACACAACCCAGTGAATTCCCCGCCACTTGTTGAGATCCAGGGTGCTACGCAACACAGGTTAAATAATTTGTCTTGTCATCATCTACTTACAGCATCTGTTTCACGTGCCAGTTCAAACAGAAGAGCTAGTGTTTCTCCAGCAGCTATTCTCATGTTGAGGTCATCACAAGACAGGAGACTTGGAAGTTTATGCAAGTGCCTGAGGAGTAAGTCACATTTTATTAAGATCTGCATTTTGTTGACACTGCGTCACTGCATATAAAAACAGTCATTACAAATTTTGTTTTCCAATAAAGATACTCACATTTCAATTTTCTTCTTCACTTCATTCATTGGACAAATGGTCAACAACAGTGTCCATGCTAAGAGAGCACTGATGTGAAGCACAGTATTATGGGTACTTGATACGCCATTAGTGTCTCTATCTCGCTGATAGGCCTTTGTGAAGATGTTTTCCAGGCATTCCATAGTAGAGTACAGCTCCTGAACAGGGTAAGAAAAGATCATGGAAGCAGATTAAGATCCACACATTTCCATATTGTCAATTTATATACATAAAAAAAGTATTTTTTATCCTCACCGTAATGTCATCAGTGACAATGAAACAGCAAATCCCTAAGCAGGTTGCACACTAGACATAAAAGAAAAAAAGAGTCAGCATTTGACATTAATGTTACCATTGACAAAACTCTGAAATTCAGCACCTGGAGTAATTGAGACTCCAGATTAAGACCTTAGCAGAGTAGAAGTCTTCAACACTGTTTAATTCAGCTACCTTGTAACAGTTAGCTCTCAGTTCCCTCTACTGTCAGGATTTTACAATATATGCTACTTAAAAGCCTTAACTATTCATGCCGTATTATCTAATATAGCTTACAAAGCCGCTCCAGAAAGCTACATGTAGCACTCCTTTCACCCAATTATTTTAAATCCCACCAGAATTCACTAGCAGAAATTATGCTGATAAACAGTAATGGACATGTGATATGTATACATAGCTATGGGAAGCATTTTCCCCCTCTCTGCCCACTATTACAACTAAATGTCATGAAAACACTGGACTTCAAGAGCCTTTCTTGGCACTTTCCAACTTTTACTGCAAGGTCCTGTACTGCAACTATACATCTCTTCCTTATTCCCTGTATTCAACTCAGTCTCCTCTTACGAAGAGTAAGAAAAGATGTGCTTGAAAGTGATGCCTGCACTAACCACACAGGCCTCAAAACTACACTTAAACAGGACAAGCTTTAAGGGCTTTTGTTTGTTTGTAGAAACAACTGCCATTGAACTAATACTAGCTCCTCTTCCAGCTGACAGTATCTATTGTACCACAGCTTGTGTAAAATAGGAGAAGTAGCCAGCTATGTAATGATAAAGGCAAGTTGGAAAATACTAGTTAAAACTCTGAAGCTTAAAAAAACCCTCTTGGCAAGAGCTTTAGACTCTCTTCAGTCAATATTTCAAGTATACCGCTAATGTATAGATGAGATGACTGGGTGAAAAACTTAAAACACTTTTGGTAGTATGAATGCACCAAGTATGTAGTTCTAGGTCTGCTATATATAGTTTTATCATACATAAATATATTTTACATTCCTCTGCTGTTAAAGTTAAAATTAATACAGGAAGAAGGATACATCAGTCAGTGGGAAAACTTTCTTTTTTTTTTCTATAGGACTTCAACATCCACCCTCAGAACTGCAGTTAAGGAGACTGCAACTTGACAGAGTACTTTAAGGAAGTTCCTAGGCTGAAGAAGAGAATGACGTTCAACCTTTAGGTGGAACTTTTCAAGCCATTGAAAACTGCTATGCATCATTCAGAGCATACATCAACATCATGAGTTCACACTAGTGTAGTAACCTTTAGTTCTGGATTACACAATAGTGAGTTGGTCAAAAACTGCCCTCTGTCCCTTCCTGGCAAATAAACTTTTTATACTTACAGCCTGTCTGGCTTGGACACTGGCTGTTCCATCACAGACAATCTTCTTCAGAACCGGACCAAGGGTCTTAAAAATCTCTTCACTTTCAATTCCTGACCCCATCTGCACACACAGAAGACATGCCAGTCCGGCAGCTGCACACTGTTCGTCGCTCTTACCTAGAGATTAACATGCTATGATGAGTAATCACCTTGTGCATTGCTTCCTTTAAAGATCATTAGTCTGAAAACTTGCAAGTGGAAATTCAGAAACCAACAGAAGAATTTCAGTTAATTTTCTAGGTCAGTTAAAGTATAACATCTAAATTCAAAAAAGGAATGTTGTTAACATAACTAAGCACTCTACAAAGTACTAGAGAAGCCTCACAGTCTTAATTCCTTTTAAACGATAAGCTATTTCATGGGGATTATTGCTTTCTAATAGCAAGCACGTTAATTACCTTTCTTTATGCAGCGTTCAATGCTATCAGTTAGTGTCATTCTCCTTTCCATGATAAATTCATATAGTATTTTAGAAGAAAAAGCACTTTTCAGACTTTCAAGAGCTGCTTGTCTTGTCTTTGCACTGTTAGAAGAGAGAAGGAAGACCTCCTGAAATCAGCACACATCCGTTAAAGCTCAGCCTTTATTTTTATGGTAGTTTCTATTTGTCTGCACCCAATAGAAGAGTAACCCACAGCAGCACCACGAAGTACAAAATGCTATGAATTGCCTCCTTCCTCAAGGATAGAGAAACTTAGGTTGGAGATAAGAGTTCACAGTAGTACACCAAGCTAGAAATAAATTCACTCTATTTCAAGCTATTAGGAAAGGAAAGTCTGACTCTCACGTATCCAAAAACTTGGCGGAGGTAGAAAGATCTTTTCAGATGCACAAGAAAATCAAGTCCTCCCCAGCATGAAATAACTGTAATTTCAGTAAGCATATAAAACTTTGATGCATATTTCCCTTCTCATATCAGAGAAAGCCAGAAAACAATGGATGAATGTGTTTCTTCAAAGCATACTATACCTCTTGTCCAATGTAAGATCAATAAATCCCTTCAATTTGTATTCTAAGTCTTCTTGAGTGGCTTCTTCATCAACTTCAGGCCCTAATCCAAAGGAAATAATTTAGTCCTACTGATATACACTTTATTAGCAGACACAGTAGTATCCAACACTTAACATTTTTAATACTAGTAAGAAAGCAGTTTAACATAGACAACAGCTACAAAATTGTTCAGTGTTAAAGCAAGAGAATGGTGTTAAGCCTACTGCATCGAACTGCCCCTTAAAATACTTTTATAACAATTGATCTATTGATACATCTGTGCTGTTTCTATACCTGCTTCTTACATGTGCCAAGACATGTGCACTTTAAAATTCTTACTGTCTCCAAAAGTTAGCATTGTATAATTCTAATAGAAAGAAGCCCAACAGTTTTGTGGGAGGCTCATGAAACCTGGAATACATTCTTACCAAACAAAACGATAGCCACTAGATTAACAATCATATAACGTTTAACAGAATGTCATTATTTTGCTACTGCTACTTACAGTGTAGTACTTAAGCTCTTAAATCAGCTCATGGTTTATGTTTTTAAAAAGATTAATAGGTATAAATGAAAGACTATACCATCCTCAGTGAAGCTAGCAGGATCGCTGAAGCCACTGCAGTGGCTCATAGTTTCAATTGAAGCATCTTCATCACTAAAAGGCTGCACATTTCTGGGCTGACCACCTTAAGGAAAGATGAATACAGCAGTTTGTTCATTTTTCATATGCAAAAGGAAGATCTGAACACTGAAAGTAGGATTTAACCCTCCCAACAGATTCACTCTCCCTGACCCAGCCACGGAAAGCACATTTCTTTCCTCTGCTAGGTCTTTTACTCCCAGCTGTTCTGAAGACCACGTTGGCTCTGTTCTGGAAGATCATTTGTGAATGGTGGGGAAGACCCCACCTAGTTTTCCAAGTATCAGTAGAACTCCTGACTCCAGATTTAGGATCCTTCTACAGTCAACTTCAAGTTAATGCAATTTCCTGTGACTGTGCTTTAAAAGTAGCTCTATATTAACTGTTAGGACAAGCTACCTAAAGAAACCGCCGTACAATCTTTATTTTTCAATTTTGAGGTACTTCAAGGCAGGGTAAGTTATACATTTAGGCAAACATACATTACCCAGTTCAATGCAGGATTTACAGGATTAAGTATAGTATGTGCAGCATCAGCAATGTCTTACCCTATTTCAACACTGAATTACAAATACAAGCCAGAACATCAAATGCTTCAACAGGGGAAAAAAGTTTTCCCTCTCAGGATCAAGAAGGCCTCGGCTCAGGAACTTCAGTCTTTTTGAAGAAAGGAGTATTATTTTCACCAGTGTTCATTTCCACAACTTTTTGTAACTGTATCTTATTCTTACAGCATTAGGAGTTGGAGGAGTTTGATCTGATAATACTGTAATTTCTACTGCTGTTCTATCCTAGCCCTTACTTTGCATCTACTAACGTTGATTAGCAAAAGAATAGTTTTGCTGTTATGTCTCCAACAGTTCCCAAATGTCATTTACAGAACTCAGAATTCTGCTCTTCCGCCTAGTTTTCTGTGGTACAGTTGATTCTAAATTATTTAAGAAGGCAGCATGCAGTGCTTGCCCACTTCAGGCAGGCTTCCTGACTACCAAGACCCCCCCCAAAAGCATTTTTATCTAGGCAGAATCAACCTTGAGTTGATCACTGTCCAAGTGCTTTTCCAGTAAAGTTAAATTCACACTTCAGAGGTGTTGCAGCTCTGAGGTGGAAACCATCTACTTGTCTCACTGACCATAACCCTTGATGTTTTCTATAGTTACAGGGGAGAAGCACTAGCCAATGCATAGACCAGGAAACTTGGAAGCTCGGAGTTCTGGCACAGCCACCTCCTTGCCTCTGGTGATGTCAAGCAGGGAAGTTCAAAGGGAGAAGTGGCAAGAATGACTGCCAGCCCTTCACAAACTAAAATAAAAGCAGCTGCAGAAAGAGCCAGTGAACTGCTCGCTTCCTGAACGTTTGATACTTAGAGAGACAGACTCTGCTCACAGCTATGGCAGCCTGAAGTGAAATTTCTCACCCCACAAAATCTCCATTCGGCCCAGGCATCACCACCTCAGCCACACACATCCCGGATCGGTATGAAGACTGGTTTACCTTCTAACACCCTCCTTCAGGCCAAGAAGGGTTGTGGTTTGTTGTTTTGTTTTTTTTTTTTTTAAAGGCACTGCAGCCTTTCGGAGCACAATACGCCGGCGTACAGCCACACCAGCCACCGGAGTGACAGCAGCAGCCGTCCCCGTGTCCCCCCCCCCCCCCGCCCGGGAAGGGCCCACGCCGGTGCAGCGGCGCGGACACCGGCGGCTCTGCGTGCCGGCGACGCTCCCCAGCGCCATTCACGCCGCGGGGCCC